TATAGAAGGAATATTCAATGCTCACATTTTAAAATAAAAGCGACATGGAACCCTTAACATACAGAGCTAAATAATTGTTGGTAATTAATACACTCATAGGAAAATATGAAAGAGAATCCTATTTGGGCAAATTCAAGGTAGAATGACCCAAGCATAAGGCCCTCTTATTCACCAACTTTCCCTAACATAGCTGAAAGACAAGGGAGATGTTTTGAAAACTATTTAATCATAATATGATTAAATATATAGGGATTTTGATTGTCATATAAATCTCAATCATGTACTGTAGATGTAATATGAGACTTTTAGTGACAATAAATATTTTCAGAGTACCACCTGTATACAAATGTTTCTTGAACACTATCATTCAAAAGGCTTTCATCGAAAGGGTGCGGTGCGGTGCGGCGCGGTGTGGTGTGCTCAACGCACCCATTCGATAAAAGAGGGGGGCCTTTTCTCGAAAGGGTGCGTTGAGAGCGGAGTACCGTTTTAACACACCCTTTCGATAAAAGCGGGGGGGCTTTTCTCGAAAGGGTGCGTCGACTAGTCTTTCGCATCAGTCGTTTAAAATGAGGATCTGGGACAGAAGGTAATAGTTGCCAATTTAAGTATATCGAAAAAGTATTAAATAAAATGGAATGGTTGTTGTTGTTGTTGTTTTAGTTTTAAGGGCGTGTGTCATTCAATTATGAATATTTACGTGTTGATGGGGGAGACAGAGAGAAGGAAAAAAAAAGGGAAATTAGAGATAGGGAAGATAAAAGGAAAGAAAGAAGAATAAGAAGAAAAGAGGGAAACTGGGGGGGGGGGGGCGAAGGGCTCTTGCCTCCTCAACCCCCCCCCCCCACCCCGCCAAAAAAATAAATAAGAGAGAGAGAGAAGGGAAAGGGAAAGGGAAAGAAAATATAAAAGGAAAGAAAGAAGAGGAAGAAGGAAAGAGGGAAACGGGGGAAGGGCGAAAGGCTCTTACCCCCCCCCCCCCCCCCCCGCCAAAAAAATAAATAAGAGAGAGAGAAGGGAAAGGGAAAAAAAAGAGGAATAAGAAGGAAAGAGGGAAACGGGGGAAGGGCGAAGGGCTCTTGCCTCCTCCCCCCCCCCCCCCCACCCCCGCCAAAAATAAATAAGAGAGAGAGAGAGAAGGGAAAGGGAAAGGGAAAGGGAAAGAGAAGATAAAAGGAAAGAAAGAAAAGGGATAAGAAGGAAAGAGGGAAACGTGGGAAGGGCGAAGGGCTCTTGCCTCCTCCCTCCCCACCCCCCGCCAAAAAAAATAAGAGATAGAGAGAGAAGGGAAAGGGAAAGGGAAAGAGAAGATAAAAGGAAAGAAAGAAGAGGAAGTAGAAGGAAACGGGGGCGAAGGGCTCTTGTCCCCCCCCCCCGCCAAAAAAATAAATAAGAGAGAGAGAGAGAAAGGAAAGGGAAAGAGAAGATAAAAGGAAAGAAAGAAGAGGAAGAAGAAGAAAAGAGGGAAACGGGGGCGAAGGGCTCTTGCCTCCCCCCTCCCGCCAAAAAAATAAATAAGAGAGGGAGAGGGAAGGGAGAGGGAAAGAAAATATAAAAGGAAAGAAAGAAGAGGAAAAAGAATAAGAAAAGAGGGAAACGGGGGAAGGGCAAAAGGCTCTTACCTCCCCCCCCCCCCTCCCGCCAAAAAATAAATAAGAGAGGGAGAGGGAAGGGAGAGGGAAAGAAAATATAAAAGGAAAGAAATAAAAGGAAAAAGAATAAGAAAAGAGGGAAACGGGGGGAAGGGCAAAAGGCTCTTACCTCCCCCCCCCTCCCGCCAAAAAATAAATAAGAGAGGGAGAGGGAAGGGAGAGGGAAAGAAAATATAAAAGGAAAGAAAGAAGAGGAAGAAGAATAAGAAGAAAAGAGGGAAACGGGGGCGAAGGGCTGTTGCCTCCTCCCCCCCCCCCCCCCGCCAAAAAATAAATAAGAGAGAGAGAGAGAAGGAAAGGGAAAGAGAAGATAAAAGGAAAGAAAGAAGAGGAAGAAGAAGAAAAGAGGGAAACGGGGGCAAAGGGCTCTTGCCTCCTTTTTTTTTTTTCTTTGTCTTTCTTTCCTATTCTCCCTCTTTTTCGTTTTTCTCTTTCTTTCTTTTTCTTTTCCTTTCCCTCTTTTTTCCCCTCCTCCTTTTCTCTTTTTTCCCGACGGCAGCGCAATTTTACCGACAATATCCTGACAGGTGGGGGGGGGGGGGGGTGTCGCACCCCCACACCCCCCTTTGGAGACGCCCCTACCTACGCCACTGTTGGCGACCACAAGACTATCAATACAAATTAAGACATATTAATGAAGATTCTTTTTTAATGTTGCAGAGAGATAAGTATTTTCTCTATGAACTTGTTTAATGGAAGGATAATAAATAATATTAAAAACATGAATATTTTAGCGGTATAATGATGAGAGAGATGATTTAAGTCATACTTTTTTTCAGTAGACTTGAGGGTGGGGGGGGGGGGTCCCCCCCCCCCCCTCAGATCTCGGCCGTTTCACGGCCGATCGCTGCGAAAATGTGCATGCATGTCAAGTGAAGTGTATAAAAAACTATGGTAATTTCAATTTTTTGAAAAATTCACTCATTTGCATATTTATGGTAATTTATGCAAACAAGGTCAGAGAATTCACATTTTTACCCATAAATCATATATAATTCATATTCAAGCGTTCTTTTTTACTACATATATCCGTTAGAATAATAATACGATAACAAAGTTGGAAGAGCCAGTTTATCCCTATGTTATCTCTTGTTTTGATAATTTGTATTTATGTATTATATTGTTTTTGTTGTTTTATTTCATTTCTAACTACAATTCAACTATTTTGACCCAAAAACAAACACATTAACTTGAAAACAAGACCAAATAACCAATGTTTTCTCTTTTTTTAAAGGAATAATTGGTATTTCCCTATGTTTGGTACATAAATCATAAAAATGAGCGATTTTAGGGCCGACATGCAAAAACAAAAGGTCACGTGACTCCCCAACTATACGTCCAATTTTCAACAAAAAAATGTTTCAAAAGATGCGTAAGACTCGAAAGAAAAACTTTATATCTGCCGCGGTTCCGGAGTAGTCGCGAAATTACTAGAGAGCACTAATCTTTTTTGGGGGCCCTCGAAAATTTGAAAAATCTTACCCCCCCCCCCCTTGAACGCCAGGAAGGGGGGGGGGGCCTATCTCCCCAAAACGGTAAAATTAACGTGTTTTTTACACATTTTTTTCAGAAGCTCAGGGGTATTAAACATCAAAATTAATGTCGGATGAGCATAATTTTATACCTTATTTGTGACAGTGGCAGGACACAATTTGGTGTTGGGTCCAGGGGGCAGAGCCCCCAGAAGCTCAGGAGTTTTGTACATTAAATTATTATTATTTTATACCTTATTTGTGACACAGGGGTCACGAATTGGTGTGGGGTCAAGGGGGTAGAGCCCCCGGAAGCTCAGGGGTTTTGGGCAATAAGTAACGGTCAGATGAGCATATTTTTATATCTATTTGTGACACTGGCAGGACACAAATTGGTATTGGATCCAAGGGGCGGAGCCCCAAGAAGGTGAGGGGTTTTATACATCAAATTATCGTCAGATGAGCATATTTTTATATCTATTTGTGACACTGGCAGGACACAAATTCTTCTTCCTCTTCTTTCTTTCTTTTTATCTTCTCTTTCCCTTTCCTTCTCTCTCTCTCTCTCTCTCTCTTATTTATTTTTTGGGGGGGGGGGGGGGGGGGGAGGGGAGGCAAGAGCCCTTCGCTCCCGTTTCCCTCTTTTCTCATTCTTTTTCCTCTTCTTTCTTTCCGTTTAGATTTTCTTTCCCTCTCCCTTCTCTCTCTCTCTCTCTTATTTATTTTTTTGGCGGAAGGGGGGTGGGGAGGGAGGAGGCAAGAGCCCTTCGCCCTTCCCACGTTTTCCTCTTTCCTTCTTATTCCTCTTCTTTCTTTCCTTTTATATTTTCTTTCCCTTTCCCTTCTCTCTCTCTCTCTGATTTATTTTTTGGCGGGGGGGGGGGGGGGGGGGGGGGCAAGAGTCCTCCGCCCTTCCCCCGTTTCCCTCTTTTCTTCTTCTTCCTCTTCTTTCTTTCCTTTTATATTTTCTTTCCCTCTCCCTTCACTCTCTCTCTCTCTCTCTTATTTTTTTTTGGCGGGGGGGGGGGGGGGAGGGGGAGGGCAAGAGCCCTTCACCCCCGTTTCAATCTTTTCTTCTTTCCTTCTTCCTCTTCTTTCTTTCCTTTTATATTTTCTTTCCCTTTCCCTTTCCCTTCTCTCTCTCTCTCTTATTTATTTTTTGGTGGGGGGGGGGGGGGATGAGGAGGAGGCAAGAGCCCTTCGCCCCCCCCCCCCCCCCCGTTTCCCTCTTTTCTTCTTATTCTTCTTTATTTCCTTTTATCTTCCCTTTCCCTTTCCCTTTTTTCCTTCTCTCTGTCTCCCCCATCAACATAGTAATAACGTTAGAGACCACTCTGTAATCAAGACCATTCCATTTTATTTAATACATTTTCGATATACTTAAATTGGCAACTATATACCTTCTGTCCCAGATCCTCATTTTAAACGACTGATGCGAAAGACTAGTCGACACACCCTTTCGAGAAAAGCCCCCCCGCTTTTATCGAAAGGGTGTGTTAAAACGGTACTCCGCTCTCAACGCACCCTTTCGAGAAAAGCCCCCCCTCTTTTATCGAATGGGTGCGTTGAGCACACCACACCGCGCCGCACCGCACCGCACCGCACCCTTTCGATGAAAGCCCATTCAAAAGCCCTGTGAGAGCATGATAATTGCAATGTTTCCTGTATGCAGAGGAAATAAGCTTAGAACCTTATCATATTAATAACAAATAGCAACCTTTTTATATTTAGAGGTATAGAGACTTCAAAAATCTCTCTCTCTCTCTCTCTCTCTCTCTCATTGTTCTATCAAGCAGGTCTATTAAGACAGATCTACATGTACTTGTGTTAAGCAAAGGTACTTCACAATGAATATAAGCACTGGGATCTATCTTACCTTATTATATCTTCATCGATAGGTGATCTCTCTGTTCCCTCATCACTTTCTAACAATCCATCGTTCCCTTCTTTAACCGCATCTTTGACACTTAAAAAAAGGTAAGTGAGAATGACTTTTTAAGAAGCTCACACTTTTTCAAAATATCGATAATGACCATTGATTAAAAGTTACTTGGATGGAAGTGGAAAATGAAAAAAAGGACATAGAAAATTATTAATGAATTATAAATTTTAAAAACTGTAATGCAATTCATGACATCATTAGTTCATATTGTTGAATATGAAAAGCTAATATCCATATTTTTTGCTTTCCACAACCCTTTCCATTTTTTCTTTATTATCCTTTTATAGTCTCCAATTGATTAATTTGTATGAACAATGTATCAAAGTAGAGGTTTCCTACAGAACTCTTACTGTAACTATAGACTCAAAGCAGTTGGTGTTACTCACGAATCATACAATGAGACCACACAAGATGCCCCCATATAGCAGCCTTTTCACACACAGCTAAAATTCATCATTTCCAGAGATGATTAGAATCACTCAACAGTTTTAAACATGTTTATAGAAAATTTTTCCCAGTGTGAACATCGTTTATACGATGTTGGGATAGATACGAAGTCGCGATGCATACGCCACTAAAAGCAGGCTGCTGATACGAAGTTCGTATCTAAAGAGCTTGACATTTTGTGTGTGAAAGGTTTTTCGTGTTTAAACATGTTTAAACTGGATGGAGCGACCGCTCTGTTTGATATGACCTGACCTTCAATGCGCAATGGCACTACTGCGCATTTTACGAGCAGTAGTTAATCACGAAACGATTAACGATCGCAATGAAATTTCTGTGTGTGAAAGGCTCGTGATTAGTTTAAACACGTTTCAAACACGTTTATACTAATCATGTTTATAGAATTTTAGCTGTGTGTAAAAAGGCTGTAGGTAGAATGAAGTCTGGAATAGCCCAAAATAGCTGGTGTCAAAGCCAAAAATCAGGCAATAACCTGAAGGTACCCAATATCAAAAGAGAAAACCCAACAGAGAAAGGAAATGTGGTATATACCTGTCACTAAATATATGATCCTCTTTAAGAGTCTTAGGTGAAGGTTCTTCATATGGCAGTGGTCCAGCATGCTTTCCATCTTGATCAATGATCTCTGATGGAAACAAGCCTGGATCCTGCAATGATACAAAAATAAAATTCTTCTACATTATTACAACCACCAGGGTATTACATTTTAATGAAGATATCAACGAGTCTGCATTCCAAAAATATAAAGTAAAACATTGACAACAATGCTGATTTTTTTTAAATAATTATTTATCATCGTATTTCCTCTTTAATGCATCTCATAACTCATTAAATACTCAATATGTCTTATTACAAAAATCTATTGGTAAACATACAATAGAAAATTCACAGTTAAGCTTATCACTTTAATAAAAGCTTTTTACTCACTCAAGCATGGATGCATGGATGTTCAATTTACAGTGATGACATCATTGTCTGACATATTAATACAGGATTGGGAATGTGTGATGGACTGTAAGTCTACAATCCACACACAAAGATATAATCTGTTGAGAGCCAAAATTGCAATAACTCTATTCAAAAGGATAACTTAACATGGTCTCAACAGACACACACACAAAAAAAAATCACATGAACATAATTCTAGACCTGGCATATGCTGTCACTTTAACACAAGTAATCAAGTAAAGATATTTCAGCAACGTATTGTAATTAAATTTCATTATAATGTGAATGTAACTGTACACAATTTCTTGATGTACCGCGTCATTCCTGGAATAAAGCCAATTTAATTTTAACAAAAAATCAAAACAACTTCTAGACATGTATGGGTAAAACCTCTTGCATGTATGCCCAATTATGAACAATAAAAATAAAATTGAGAGAGGAAAACGACATGGTTGCCTTTTGTTGCATAACATCAGTCTTTTTTGTATCAGGCACAATGGATAATCTCTGATTGAAGTAAACAAATATTTGCACAAAGTTCTCACTTTCTCAGCATACAATTATGCTAACTCTCTTACTAATTGTACCTCCATGTACATGTAGGATCACATTGCCTTATTCTTAAATCTCATATCAGTGTACATTCAGTAAATTGGTACTTTGGCGTTAAAAATGTCATATCTCTGTTTCAGCTTTGTGTGCATCAAAAATTACTATTTTCCTGATTGATGTACACTGCAGTAATGAAACGTGCAGAGTATAATTAGCAAGGAAACAAATATGAACATTTGAGATAGGTACAGAGAATTACAAAAAAAACTGTAACCATAGATTTTCACTGTAAGTCATCAATACAAGATTCATAGAGGCAGTAGGATACAGACTGTCAGCAATTTACCAATCATGAAATGATTCTAGGTTACATCTTTAAAATTTACAGACACCTAATCTGTTGGTAATACTGTAGTTACACAATTAGTGCTGTAGTCAAACGTTTAACCGTCCGGTATCCGACCGGCCATGGCGGATTCCGTTTTGAATTGGACGGTTTTGTTTTCCCGTGTTTTATTTATTTATTTTTTTTAAAGTTTCGATTTATGCCCCTCCACCTGGCACTATGCCTGGCAATGTCTCCCAGCTCAGTAATCGGTGTGTTGACTCACCACTCTGAAACTAGCATGATACTCCAATTTGTCTGTCATCTTGGTTTGAAAGTAATCTTTGTAGTAGATCTCAATATGTAGTTTATAATAATAATTCATTCAATTTTTACACATGGTGTTTTTTCTTTACGTTAATGATCTTACACATTCTTCTAAAAATGACGTTGTTACTATTATTTGTGACAAGTTCACAAGCACAAATCGGCGCCTATAACTGCACCTCGCAGTTAAATGAAAGTCCTTCCCGCTTTTTCAAACGGACCTGGCTTGTCGGCAACAACAACAACAATATTTAAAAAAAAAAATTTTAAACAAATTAAAAAAAAAAAAAAAAGAGATATAAAAATATGGAGATATCCGTGATGTTACAGCATTATACACAATACACGATATCAGATCATGGGCCTACTTTATAATCATAGCAGACTTATGGCATGATAAGACAACCAATGGTCCATCAGCCTGCAGTTGCAACTAGCGGAATATTTGGTCGAGATAATATCCCAAGGAATGTTGGTCTTGTTTCCAAAATATCCCGCTATTTGGGAAATAGCGGGCTGATTTGCGCCCGACCGAGCTAGTTTGTGATGATCGTATTGGTCTGGTGAGGATGCAATTTCGAGCTTCTGGATAATATCCTGAGTCTGAAAATAGCGGGTTATTGGCAAACTCGAGCTGATAATAACGGGCCTATGGAGATTGAGGTGTCCATTGTCAGATAACCAGGTCAATGGGTAGCTCTTAACGATTCTTTGAATTAACTTCATCAAGGGTCATTATGTTAAAGGTTTGTTTAATTTGTTGATTAAAAGATAGATTAGGTGGGTGGTGATTTGAGTGGAGTTTGTTCATTCTAGTTATAACATCTATGATTTAAGATTTATTTGCAATATAGTATGAATGCAATTCTCGCTACCCCAAATAGCGATTCTGCCGAGATCCGGGGAAAATCCTGAAAACGCGCATTGCATTATGGGATAGCTTTTCGACATTACAGCTTCCTGTGCAGGCGCTATATTACTAGGCGCGATAGCGCAAACGTAAAACGCCGTCGCCACACAACGTGTATGCACCGAATATGTCGTCTGCTCGGTCTTGTTTTTTTTTCGCAAATATTTCAACGTTTATTTGAACATTTCATTCGTTGTTTTTTGCGTCTTTTGACATCAGTGACGATGGTTTTCTTTTGTGAGGCTGCACAGTGCTGGGCTCATGATTCCAAGCGTAAGAACCCTAAAAAATGGGGGTGGATGAAGGCCGTGACTTGGGATGGGACTCTATACCGAGAGTTGTAGTGACGACCCGAGAGAGTGAAAATTACCTCGTCTCGCGAATTTCGAGATTTTCGTACCTATTTAGGGTAGCGAGAATTGCTGTCATTCTGGGAATAAACTTTAATTCACCCATCACATACTGATAATTTTTCTTCACACTTCCAGGAAGTAAATTAACCATCACCATGACCACGTAAAACAGGATAAGGTATGGACCAATGCCATTCACTGAGAACTCAATGAAGGACATGAATCTAAGGCAGGTTCAGATGGAAAAATCTATCTCTAGAGGTAGTTTGCGAGCAAACATCCTTGTCAATAATAACATTATGATATATCACAAGGTCTATTAAAATAGATGGGCCCTGTAACATCCCATAGCTGTGAATTTGATAAGGTATAGTACATACACTGTATAGTTTTAAATTGCCTCAAAAAGCCATGTATACGTAAAGCGTCCAATTTGCGTCTACACTAGGAGACTACCCCCAAACTTAGCACTTCAACTCCTCTGGGACAAGTCCTTACTGACCTCACTTGTTGGCAAGCTGGGCTTAGCAAGGTCAAGCCTACAATCAATAGATTAAGCCTATACAATGATATCAATAGGCGCATCGTCATCATCATCTTGAGGTTGCCAAATAGCCTGCTATTTCTGATTTGGGAAATAATCCCGAAGTTATACAAATCACGTCTTCATCAGCTCGAGATTCGACCTCGAAACTCGACCTTGAGAAATTAGCTCGAGATATTTTGCTCAGCGTTAGCGCATAGTGCAAGTCTTTGGTCTGGTGAAGACGCACAGGACAAATAGCTGGATATTTTGCCAAATAGTGGGATATTTGCAAACTATCCCGACCAAATATCCCGCTAATTGCTACTTCAATCTGATGAAGTCGCAAATTAGCTGGATAGTTTGCGATCGGGATAGTTCAAATAGCTGGATATTTGGCAATCTCAAGATAGTGAAAACAGGCCTAATGGTCCGCCCATTTAGATGTACCTATTCCAACCATTTTTGAAGAAAAAAAAACACTGTGAAAACATGTGCCCAAACTTCTGACATGCTTTTGATATTTACCAATACTTTTGGTTTATCTGCTTGTTTGGGCATACATACATGTACATGCAGGCCTATAAATAGGTATAACTTTTAAATATTCATAATGGAATTCTCATGTCATTTTACTTGCAGATCTGTTTTTGTCCAACAACTCTCCTCCACATCCATTAGAATTAGGACAGGGAGCAAGCTACATATCAGTTATTCTGTTAATTTTCCTGTCCCTGGTATTCAATTAGTAGCCATATTGTCTCGATTTGTAAACTTGTTCATTATGTAAAATGATGTATTTCTATGCTGAATATAAAATGACAATAATGATAAATATGATACTAAGCTATAGATAGGTTTCCATTATTAACACCTATCCTCTTCTATCTTCTTTCATCTTGGTGTTAAAAACAACTTTGATAACGAATAGCTTCATGAAATTTACTGATGTGCGAAAACAGGACTGAGAAGGGCAAGGGTCCATTGAAGATTCTACTTCCATTCTAAATGTCAACATTCATACCAAAACGTGTACTACTATCAAATTCCCACGTCACCCGTACAGATCAAACAATGCAGTTTGGTCAGACAAACAAGAGTACTACACGTGTACTACAACTGTATACTATCAAATTCCTACGTCACCCGTACAGATCAAACAATGCAGTTTGATCAGACAAACAAGAGTACTAAACGTGTACCTATCTACATTGTATATGTGCCATTATATCCCGCATACGGTACTAAGAATCTTGCAATCTGATTGGTTTAAACAAGGTCACATGATCAATGATAGATAAGTACTATCTCCCTGCGATAGGACTTTTGTACAGTAATTTTTTTGCTGCTGCCCCACTTTGCCATATAAGCATAGCAAAATAGGTTACGCGAAATGTCAATGTCAATGTCAAATGAGTGCGCATCGACTTTATAACATGTACTAGCAGGACCCGCGGAAATCCGCGGGATTCTAGAGGGGGGCGGGGGGTGTAAATAGTATAGAGACTGTCTAAATTAAAACCACCAAGAACTTTCTTTGCCATTCAGGCCATTAAAAAATATACATGTTAAGCGTCCCCGCCCGCTTCCTTTTTGGGGGCCGCCTCCTCTTTTTTTTTTTTTTGAAATTTTTTTAATTTTTTTTTTTTTTTTGTATGAAAGAAAAAAATAGCATCCCCGCCCACTTCCTTTTTGGGAGCCGCCTCCTT